ATCCAATAGCCATAGAGGACTATTTTTATCAAAAACATAATTTTGGGACAAAAAAGACACCTGATGTATAAAATTAAGGCAGATGGGGTAACTCATTCATGCAAGTCAAAGGCTGAAAGAGTTAGAACTGAAGTCTTACACAGATCACTTCTATCTGGCATGCTTTGTATTCCTACAGGTAATCAAATAAGCATTACCTGCATGCATAAATGTTGAACTGAGCTGGACACCTTTTAAAACCTGGCTTTAAAAATCCTCTCCTGGAGAAGGACTTAGCTTTGTAACCACAGCTTATGCAAAACTTGGCATTTCTTGTGGGATGAAAACAGTGGCTCTCCTTTGAGCTACTAACTTCATAAGCTGACTCTTCAAATAACAATTTCCTTGCTGGAAGTAACAGAGGCTCCTGCTAAGGGTATGGCTGAACATCCTCACTTCTTCTTTTCGATGAGGATTGGGGAATTCAGCACCTTGCAAGAGCTGAGTTAATGTTTAGGAAACTACAGTGTCATGTTTGGTGTAATTTTCTGTAAAACTGAGAAAAGATTCCTTCAGTTGGAGTTTTAAGTATACTGCAAGTCAAATTTCTGATGTTGTAAGTGCTAGGTCCATTTTCTGTAACCTACTTATAAGGGGTTTTATCCAAAACACTCCAGCAAAATTTACAGATTCACTAGAGAGTACAGCAAAATGCCCAATGCCCCAGGAGTATATCTTGACAAAATGTAGTTGTTTTGCTTTAGCAAAGAAGGACATGAAAGGCGATGACTGTAGTACCTGAATATGACAGTGTTCACCTAAGGCCATGCTTTTCAGAGTGTAGTCGTGAGAACTATTTGTTTAATGTTGACAGTGCTCTTGCTGCTCTGCAATAGCAAATGAAACCATATTTTAACGTCTTTGAGCCAAGGTAACGAAGAATAAACATGACAGAAAGGAACAAAATAACTAATCTGAGTTATTGCTTTTAACTTCCAGTTTTATGGCTGTTGTAAAAGAAATGAGTTGTCAAAATGGATTGAGTGGTATCTTTGGTGAGATGAAATCACGAGGATCCAATGCACATTTTCCAGACCGTGCTGCCTCTGTCACACGTGGTCATGCCATATAGTTGGCACTGGTTTTAGAATATTTTACCTGAAATCTACCCTTCCAGAGCACCATATAACTTCTTAAAATAGTACTTACCTCTCCTAAAACTGTGAGAGAGATGCTGCAAAAGCTGAACCACAACATCCTCAGTTTACTTCATTATTTCCAGTTATCATGTTTAGTCTTCATTTAGACAAAACTACAGATGAAAGGTGAATATTCATTGATATCCCTCCCTTTTCTTACATGCATGTCATACAAAATACGGTGTTGAATTTAAATCTGGTTTGGCTTGCAAATAAGCCAATGAAAGTGGCAGGAATGAAAAAAAAAGAAATACATAATAGATAATTTACATGAACATACAGATAAGAACATCTTTATTTTTAGCATCTGATAATAAAGACACCTGAAAATATGAGGTCTGAAAATACAAGCAGGCATGGAAAGGAAGTCTCTACATTTCTATGGGCTGCCTTATGACACATAACAGCAAACTAGGAAGAAAACTCAGGACAGCAAAAAATAAAGACTAATTCACTCTAACCTTTCCTCAGGTAGAGAAAGCATGGGGGTCTCTGGCTATCCCAGGGGCTATTTCCACTGGGGACACAGAGCTGTAGATCCTAGAGCTCTGCAGGACTGCAGGGTGGCCTTTAGGTGAAGGCCTGAAGTGCCACCTTTCCACTTGCTTCCCACCTGCCTTTCAGAAGGTGGTTGACTCATGAGTCTGTGGCTTCCTGACATGACCTGCTCATGGTCTTGCTGCTCCCCCTATCCCCTCATGCTACACACATGCCAAATGATAATGCTCCATTTGCTAAATGATCCAGTAAACAGAGACTAATTCTTTACACTAGGATGGATGAATCATTGTGCCAAGAGGGACTGCTCACTCACAGGGTCTCTACACCTCAGCACTGCCTCTGGGACCCTTCTTGCCCCACACACTGCAACTCTGTCCCAGCTTTTCATTCACAACACCACCAGTAGCTTGCTCCTACTTTTCCACAGCCCAGCTGGAATAACGACTACTTCACCAGCGAATGTTGAGAAGGCCCCATGTGTGTGTACAGCATGTTCTTTCATGCTTTTCCTCGTATTTCTGGTGGTCTCAGGGCATGGAGGCATTTTAGTGACAGATGAAGGTAGAAGTAAGACATCAGTGAGAAAAGTGGGGGTCTTGTGGGCCCAGCTTCCCCTTTGAACTGTGATCAACCCCTTGGGACACTTCATAAGACAATTAGAAATTATCTGCGGCAACGTTAAGACCGAAGAGATATATTTGCACTGTCTAATTTTAGATGTACATCATATGTATTCTGACTAGTCTTCTGAACAGCTCAGTGTTTCTCATTAACTCTCCTGGCAGCTTAGTCACTAGGCTCCCCTCTTCTGCCACCATTAAAAGCCCAAAGTGGCCCAAAATATTGGGATCACACAGTTAGTTACACAAACTATACCTCTGCTTTCCTGAGCTCAAATGCTGGGATCTGTTAGTTGGTGCATGAAGTAGGACATCCATTTCTTCTCCTGATGCACCAACCCCTTCCATGCATGCGGAGGGACCAGGGGCCAAGGAGCTCTCCCTGTCAGCAAGCAGGGCTGAGCAGTTGTGGCCACATGTTCTACATGGTATTCGCCCGAACAGACCCCGTCCCCACAAACAGCCACTCTTGACCTTCTGTTTCCCAAAGGAACAGCACAGGGACACATGAGGCTAGGACTGTTATAATGAAGGCACACGGAACACTGTGAAAAATAGAATTTTTAGTCTTTTCCAAGAATGGGTGATATTTATACGAAGTGCTTAGCTCCAACTTCATTTTCTAATAGGATGTGATCTGTCTTGCAACTGCAAAGTGCTTCAGATCTTATCTTTTGGTGCCATTGCATTTTATGAAGCCTGTGAAAATGATGAGACACACCAGAGACTGAGGGCTGTATGCTTAGTAGATTACAAGGGCAAATTACTAGTGCTAACATGCAGAGAATTTTTTGTGTGATTGATCTCTCCATGTATCTGGTTTAGTGAGAGAGGTTGGCAAATAAGATGGAAAGACAATCTATGTTACAGCTGGCCATGGGGGATTGAATAGAAAAGAAAAATGTCTTCAGAGTCTGTGAGTTGATTCTATATTAGTGCATTAAAGCAGCTTTAGGAGTGTGGCATTTGCTAGTGACAATAAAAGAGTTTAAAGTTACCAAGAAGGTAGTTGAAGTCCAAATTTTTCTGCTGCCCAAATCAGTAAAATAAAGGTTTACAGAACATAAAGATTGTTGAAGTATCTTTCAGATGAATGTGTTATCAAAAGATAATTTTTACTATGTATTTTGTAAAAAACAGCAAATGATATTAAACCTGATTTATAAGAGTGATTTATCTGATTAACCTTATTTTTCTTAACTGAATAAAGGCAAATATGAAGCAAACATGAGAAATAATGAAAAATATACGCACTTGAGAAAAAATACTACTGAAATATAAGAATCAAAGTCTAGATCTGTCTATGCAAAAATGGTTAACTGAATTTGCTATGAAAACGTCTGATTGTCCCTTGCTAGGGAGCAGGGATCATCATCTGCACAGGCATGTGTTAGCATTCTTGTGATGCCTGAGCACTTCTACATTCCACCCTTGTGCATGCATGCTAAAGGAGTAGTGCAGTCATTATATGATGGAGATGTAAGGATCTGGCACCGTGTGGGTCTGTCCGTCAGTTTATGACAATTTGTCCCCCACCCACCCTGCTCAGTGTGGCACAGAACTCATCAGTGATTCCAGCCACTGGGGGAGGGGGGGGTGGGGGGTGGGGGCATAGGGGAATCAACTTCTTTGGGTATTTTTTCTTAATCCTGTGTGGAATCACATTCAGTGCATTCCTGAAAATGCCATCCTATGCAAAGGGATCCAAATGATCTGCTCTTACAAGGACAGTCACTCTTTCCCTTGCAGAAACTTCCTTCATCTTAGCTCCCGCCCTTGCAGAACACCTTGATTTGTATCTGATTTAATGATCAAATTCTGATACTTTGCTTTAGCTACATTGATCCTGCACGTATTCAGATGTTACTGTAGAAATATAATTTTGATCTTGGTCTTCTTCACTCAATTTAGGGTATGTTCCCTGCTGTTCTAAGTTGTTTTGTGATGATTTTCACCCAAGGAGAATCTGTTTCCCAGGTTTAGAACCAGTATCAGACCCACCCAAAACTATCTTGTCTTTTATTTCTGTTCTTGGCAGAAACCTCTCACACCCCTCCTGGGACCTTCTCTCCCACATGTGGGACATTTCAGGCTCCAGGTTTTTTTCCAGTGTGACTCCAGAATATTTCTGTTTACTTAGAGTGAAGTAAATCAAGACATAACCAGAATCAGGCATTCTGTTTCTAATTTGATTTAATCCTGAAAGCAGACTTTGCATGAAAATCAGTCATTTCCGCAAATCCAGCTAGGTTTTTCAATATACTCTCTGCCTAGGCTAATAATTGGAAAAGCCGGGTGTATTGCTCTGAGTATTTCCTAGCACAAACTCAAACTGGAAGAGACTCAGAGCAGCATGGAGCTTTTCAGTGAGCTCAATCACTGTACACAACCAGACTGACCACGCAGAGATGTGTCATACTCCTGCATATACATTATGCTCGCACACAGAATCAAAACTCAAGCTGTTGGTTGGAAATATACATGATTTAGGAGATGAAGCCTCTATAACAACTCTGAAATTTTAGTACTTTATGTTTTAAAAGTTTAAGTTTAAACTTGTATTCATCTTAGAGTTGAAGACAAAATAATAAACAGGAACAATTTTATAAGTAAGTGATCTAATAATTTTTCATTAGAAAGCAATTAATTTAGAAGCCGAAGAAAACCTGGATTTATTGTTATTTCTGCAGTATAAAATAGGTTTCTCATGTCCATAATTTTATTTTCTTGAAAATTAGACAAAAACAATGATTACAAGAAAAAAAAATGGTGACAGGTATTGCGAAGGTCTAGTGGCACAGTAAATCCAAAATACTTTGTTGGACTTCATCGGGTTCATGCCGGTGTAAGAGATTGTCTTCACAGTTACACAGGGCAGGCTGGAACCAATCTTGCCGTGCATTATAAAAATCTTCATCCACATTGTAACCTTACATGTGGAAAATAAACAAAAGAAATTTTACAGCTGAGCATGAGAATGGTATCATTGCCACTTGCACCCTGTTGACAGCTATTTACAATATGTTCTTGAGAGTGCTGATTTACTCCAACAGCCTGAACTGTGGTGTTAAAGTTATTAAGAAAAAGAACAGAGAAGAAACCTGCTCCTTATGTTCTTGCTATTTGTTAACCATCTGATTTGGAGCCACTTGGGCATGTACTGTGCGGATATAACCATTGTGCATGGGATGGCTGCCAAGCAGAAAACATATGATTCCTCTTTCTCCCCTTTTCATGCTCACTGCCTGGTGAATGTAGGTTGCTGCATTACACAATCTTGACAACCTTTGCAATGTAGGTGGTTTCAGACAAATAGAAGAAAGGCAAGAACAGCATGTCTGAGAAGGGAACAACAGGCTTGTCTAATGGCATCCCCACGCAGAGGGATGATTCAGGAGCTCATTTGGGTTTATTTTCTCTTTCCCCAACTTATTAACCTATTCACTGTCAGACTCCTGCTGAGACACTGGAAAAAACAATGGCATATGTAGGTGTCTGGCTTCTAGGTAGCTTTCCCCAAGCCAGCACCTAGTGGAGCTCTCTGCATTTTCTGCCCAGGGCATGTGTCTGGTTTACTGCTGTCTTGTTTGTTCTCACTCTAAACCAGAAAACAAATACCAGAAGAATGTGCCAGGGCCTGGGGATCAGCCTATGCAGCTGAGGATACAGGGTAGAGAACTTCTGCAGCCAACAAATTTGATTTTCTCTTGATATGAGACCTCAGTCTTACAAAAAATCCCCACCAATCACAACAAAAGGAATTATGATCAAATGTTGTTGTCCAGGTCTGAAAATGGTTTAGACTGAGAAAGTCTCTCAAAGGGACAGTCCAATGAGTGGAAAACCTTACAGCACCAGCAATGTTGCTTTAGTGCTCTAACCTGTCCCGTCAAAAGGGACAAGCTATGCTAAACGTCAGTGAGAAATGAATAACCAGTCCAACAAATTTAGGGGAATTGCAACATCATAAAGTAATCAGACCTAACAGCAACTTTTATGAAGGATTTCTTCTTGGAAGGAGACAGCAAAAGGCAGCAAACAATATGCAGGTGGTCACTGTGACTAGATGTGTCACAAATGATTGATTTAGATTACTTAAAGAACCACTGTCAAAGGTATTAGAAAAGGTGGCTTTAATAAGGTATTGTAGAAGTGTGACTTAGCAAGGTTTGATGGCAAGGTTCACTCTACTTCTGTACAGCACAATCATTTGAGCAATGATTCAAAACTACCAAGACAAAATCGAAGTTACCAAGTCCCAAATCAAAGTTACTGCAAGGTTATGAGTGACATCAGTTGCTTACCAAAGATCTGCTGTTGTCAAAAGGTGTCTCTGCCTTGAGAAGCAACCTTGAGAGGTGTCCCAGATCAAAAGGAGATCACCACCATGCAGCCACACTGCCTGCTAGGGAGAGCTCAAGGAAGGCTGCTTACAGAGGCTGTCCTATTTATTGAATAAAGTAGTTGGCTCATAGTCAAATTACAAAGATATGCATGAAAGTCCTATACACACAACTTTCTTTGTTCCTTGATAAATGAGTCTTGGAAAAGCCATCTGCTATTCATGTGTGTGATTGGTGTTTCAAGCTCATATGCATCAATGCTCACTGTGTCACTCTGCTCCTTTTTGTGGGTTTTCAGAGAACAGATTGAAACTGGAGGAGTTCTTGCCCTATTAATGGCCTAGGCATTTACCTCCTTTGGAGCCTGTACTAAGCTGCCACTAGTTTGGTTAAGGGATCAGAGTGCACCAGTCACAACAGTGCCTCCAGCTGCAGGCATTTCCAGTTGCTGCTCTACCTCAAGCAGCCAGAGAAAATATCTATCATTTTAAGTCTGTGTTTGACAGGAGACAAAAAACCTGCAGAAAACTCAACACACAATCATGCAGGCCTAGCAGATTGCATATTCTGTAACTGCAGTCTTCAGTTCTACCCCAGGTTGTTCTTCCATCCTCCTTTTTACTGACTGTTGCCCAGGACCAAGCATTGCCAGTTAAAAATCTTGCTAGACTCTTAAAAATAATTAAAAGTACCACACAAAATAGCACCATTGTCAATCACTACACATACACACACATAGACAGCTTCTCCAGAAACATTCAGGAACTGTATAACACTGTTTACTGAGTAATAACTTCTTAGAAGGGGTATTCTGACGTTATTCATATGCAGAATGACCACTTGCAGTGTTGTAGCAGGGCATGCTTTTGGTGTATACCAAAGTGAGCAGCTCTAATGAGCAAAAGGGAAAGCTGAAGAAATTCCAGTGGAAAGACTTTTAGAGTAGTTTGAGTGTTTTCCTGTAGGTTTTGTTTTCCTGTGCTTTAAGTTATAACCAAATTCTTTTCTACAAAACAATAGCAGTCTTACCACAAGAGTTTTATTAAAATAAAAAAAAACCACCAAGGAACAAATCCAAGACCCATTTGAACTTTTTGAAGAACAGAGGAAACCTAACAGACCTTAGAGCTCCGTTTTTCTTCTCTTTTCCCCTAATTATTCTTGTCTAGATGTCTTAGCACTCCCTTTTTATTTATTGATAACTGCTTTGAACTCATGTGAGCTCGCGTGTTGAACCATATGCTCTGTCACATGCAGTGAATTAGTTTATACTGTCTGATTGCTGGCTGTAGCCTTTAATATGTGTGGGACCTAACAAAATTATCTCCAGCTATGGGGAAGTCTTACATCAGTCAGTACGAACACCAAATGAATGAGGACTGCAGCAGTACAGTGTTTGCTCTGCCTGGTATTTTGGTCAAGGTACAAAACAAACCCCAAAATACAAGAATACAAGAAAATCCAAACAAAAAAAAATGAATACACCAAAACTCCAGCCTAAACACAAGTAGAGGTGCCCTTCTTCCTTTCCTTTCCTTTCCTTTCCTTTCCTTTCCTTTCCTTTCCTTTCCTTTCCTTTCCTTTCCTTTCCTTTCCTTTCCTTTCCTTTCCTTTCCTTTCCTTTCCTTTCCTTTCCTTTCCTTTCCTTTCCTTTCCTTTCCTTTCCTTTCCTTTCCTTTCCTTTCCTTTCCTTCCCTTCCCTTCCCTTCCCTTCCCTTCCCTTCCCTTCCCTTCCCTTCCCTTCCCTTCCCTTCCCTTCCCTTCCCTTCCCTTCCCTTCCCTTCCCTTCCCTTCCCTTCCCCTCCCCTCCCCTCTCTCTCCCCTCCCCTCCCTTTCCGTTCTTCCCTTTCCTCTTCTGCCCTCTCTCTCCCCACTCACCCTCCTTTCCCCCAAACTTTTTTCCTTCTGTCCTTCTCTCCCTCTCTCCTCATTCATTTTAAAAAAACCCATCAGACACAATTTATCACCCTTCACACACGTATGGAGTACTGATTTCCCAAGAGTTTCCTGGGCTCTAGAAATCAGAGGTATACTACTTAGTAGCAGTGATGGTGGGTGTTCACTATCTTGCTCCCAGACTGTTGCCTTTTTGAAGTGCCCGCAGCCCTTGAACTGAAGCACAATCACTGAATACTTTGGAAAAATACCACAAACTAAAAGACAAAATTGTATCTCAAAAATCAGTGCTACTATTTACTTCTCTTAAGACAGAGACCTAAGTTGACTAAAATAATTAAAATGCAAATGACTGCAATTGCAGACAGATGACAAAAATTAAGTAAATACATATTAATTTCAAATTTGTCTTGAAATATACACTCAGGCTTCCAGGTGAAATATTATCATGTTGTCAGAACTAACAAAGTAAGGAACATCACTGAATAGGGAAGAATATGCCAATATGCCTGTTCCTGAAGAGTGACAAATTTTACATTAGATGACCAGCCTAAGCCTGTAAACATGTTAAGTAATTTCAGATGTTACTGTATGCTTAGCGGATATTAGAGTACATGAACACTCTTAATCAAGTGAGGTCATCAAGAAAACAAGAACAAATGTTGGATTAATTTTCCAGTCTAAGTAGGGGTAAGACTGCAGCCTTTACCGCTGTCAAACAGCCAGACCAAAACACTTGCTGGATACTTTGGCAGCTTTCCATGTGTTACAGATCTTCAAACGTGACACCAAATTCAAACATACTGACTAAAGACAATTTCTTATCCACCTCTGACCTGAATAGGGCTCACAGTCCTGCTCACGTGACTTTATGTATGTCAAGAGATGAAAACACATCCTCTTAATCATACCATCTTATTTTAAAATAGCTTTTGATGGTATTGTTTTAATAAAGGTAGTTGTGATGATTACATACAGGGTACAGGAAAAACCTGTCTTTGAATGACTTCAGCCAATGTCATTTACCAGAAATTAGTTTGGCCCAGCATAAGTTATAAAGGCCACTTTAAATTATAACAAGGTATTTATTGCCAGGAAAACTCTCCTCTTTAATACCCCCCCCACTTTTCTCTTCCCAAAAACAATCGAAAAAATATGATTGGTCCAAAGGTTGTAGTCTGCAAATGTCAGTATTTAATTTAAGTGGTGGTTAGATATTACTTGACTCAGAAGTAAAAATATGTAGGTGGCAGAGGAGTAGATCTAGCTGTACAAGCAAACAGATGTGAGAATACTCTGATCATCCTATGATCATGAAAGACATGTAGTAGTGTAAAATATCTGGAGTATTTCTAATATCCTAATATTTTCTAATGTGAGAAACAAAATGAAATACATATAGTATGACTATAATAAGTAAAAAAACAAACAGAAAAAAAACCAACCAGAAAACCCTGGAGTTATATTACTGTGTAAAAATGTGACGCACAGCCCTTCAACAAATCACGGTATGTAACTGAATACTGGTAACTACAGCCCATCCTTCACATGCTGCAGCACCTGAGGGGGGGTCCTTTAGGCCAAGCTCCACTTGTCTCTGGTTCCATTAGCATTCTGCCAGCTTGTTCCTGAACAGTCTACAGTAAACAAGCAGTGCAGAACAGAAACCAGGAAAGCAAAGTGGATAGTCATGTAAGGAAAACAATTAGGTGTCCTTCAATATTTTTTTTGTCTCTAAGTGAGAAGTGTATTATTTTTACCCAGTTAAAATTCCACAGGTATATTGTAGACTGGAAGGAAGATATTAATCATCCTTTTTTGCAGACAGTTCAGATGTATAAGGTTATTGTCCTAAAGCAAAGCAAGCAAACCAGTAAATGTCTCCATGTTTTGCCTGCGGTCTCCTTTTTTTCAGGATGAAGTGAAAAACCATTGTTGCTGTAGTTAACCTCTGTGTTCTCTTATATCCATGCTGGATAGAGGCTTAAATTATTTTTAGCATGCTGAAAATGTTTATTTCATTCTTATTTTGAACATACAGGATGCCAATGGAACGAGCTTCCAAACAAAATTCCTTACTGGAGCTAAAGAAAAGAGAAAAAACAGACCACCACCAACAACAAAAAGAAATCAAGGCTTTAACTGCTTAGCTGTCAGTCTGGCAGAAAATCTAGTCTGAACTAAGAATAATCCTAACTTAGTCAGTATATGTTTTCAACTAAACTTCTTCAATGCACTCCAACTGGGAGGAGCAAAACGATATATAATGGCAATGTGTAGGGTCTCATTAACCTGCCATGCCTGGCAAATAAATAGATAAAACAAACTTAAAAAGGCCGGAAGCTTCTACCATCTTTAAGATCTTGAAAAACAATTTCAAAATATTTTTTTTTTTTTTTTTAGCTATTAGATTGACCCGCACAGGACAATACATTAATTTGGTGGTTTCCTATGTCTTTTTACTTTCCTTGTGCACTAGACATCTGTTTGTTGAGGGCCTCCAATCCCAAGGAGTATCAAGGACTTCATTTTCAGTATATACCTAAATGCATTGCATTCTTTTGTTTTTTTAAATTCACCCTCCTAATAAGCTTTCACCTACTCCAGGAAGCACTAGAGATCACTCATAATACCCGCACTGTTTTGTCAAGTTCTGATGTCCATTATCAAAGCTTTCAGTTTCTGAACATTAAAATACAAGCCTCTCCAGCCAAAAAATTGTTAGATGTCTTCTGGAAATAGCACCAGGAACTGCATGAAGGAACACAGGAGCCAGAGAGCTACTTCTTATGTTGGTTTGCAGCTTATCAATTTTCATTACTGTACAATAAAAGAAATAATAACTTTTATGGGATAGAATACCAGCTTGTCTTCCCATTTAAAATGGATTTATAGCAATATCTCAATTTACTTCAGCAACATTCATCTAGCTATTGCTCTCAGAGTGAAGTCTGGATGCACAGATTATAGGAGAGGGCCATTTGAAATGGCTTTTTGTTTTATGTCTTTTGCAGAACTCAACCCTGAATTACCCATCAATGAGCAGCCCCATCTCCAGTACCACATTACAAGTTTAACTGAAAAATGCAGCGCCAGTGAGAGTGTGAAGGTGTTTACTGTCAAGAATATATATTTAAAAAAAAAATAAAAGAAGGAAAAAATATCACTCTAAGTGGACTTCAGATGATAAATGAAGTTAGGGGAAAACATACAAGCAAACAAAAAATACAGTAGAGCACAATAGACTAAACTTATCTGAGGTATAACTCTTGCCAGCTGGCCAGTATCTCTTTGTCAAAATATATTTAATGAGTAAAGAAAGAAACAAAATACAGTACAAAATGAACATAGCAAATTGGTTCATTTGGATACAGCAGCATACCTTCTATGATGAAAATCTT